GCGAACTCCTCTGATAGATTTTTGGGCCTGCTAGTGTCCTTCTCGGATTGTGCTAAAGTTCAAGACAGCATCCTAGTGGACAAAGTGGTAGCTAGGATAGCTGGMTGGGAAAGGCGTGCGGGTGTATCCTTGTTTGGYAGAGCGCTTGTACTATCCACCTCGGCATTCTCCCTCCTTTGGTTTCCTCTGACAATTCATGCTTTAGGGGGAGAGGCCTATAAGAAGATTCGACATGTGGCTGCCAAGTACCTATGGAAGCCCAATGCTTCTAAAGATCAGGGCTTTCTGTCCAAGGTGGCTTGGGAGGTTGTGGCGGCACCTAGGAAGAAAGGGGGTCTGGGATTACTAGACCCGCTTCAGCAGAATGTCGCTATGCTGGCCAAATGGCCTCCCCTTGCAATGCAAGAAGAAGGAATCAAAATTTGGATATTATTGGCTGAATATATTTTGGGGTCGGAGTGGGAGCTGCAAGACCACTCCAAGATCTGGTTATGTATGCTTCTCCCCTCCTTCTGTAACCGCAGGCCATGCTCTAAAATATGGAGAAATATTTTGGGAGYCTGGAAGAAGGTAATGCSAGATGCTATCTCTCCTYCGTCATCTAAACAGGAAGTSCTAAACCAGCTGCTATTTGAGAACATCTGTATCAAAMAGGCGGATGGGTCCTGTTTTGCTATTYCTGATACTTCMRRAAGTTTTKGAGCGGGGTGGATTAAGAAGGGAGTGATGCAGTTAAARGACATTTGGGAYGTRGAGCATGCCAGGTTTTTGGATCTTTYGCARATMAGACGCAAACTCCCTAGACTCCGCAATGTACAAGCTCACTATGCAKCCCTGGTGRAAGCCATTCCCACCCAGTGGATCACRCTCCTCCAGCCAGATACTTCCTAYGMTGAGGGTACCTRGCTTCGGCAACWGTCACACCCGGGGGAGTTAGTGCAGATCCTGGGACCAGACTTGCCTACAGRACTGCGTGCTCAGAAATGGAAAGTGTYAACGGGCCACTCACTTGGGTGTACYGGGGAACAAGGCACCTCCYTGATCAGGGTGGACARGGATACTCATCTRGAGGATACCTCAGAAATGGTGGAGGTTCGGGTCCTSTGGMAGAAGGAGCCCYGGGGGGCAGAGAATGCTATCTTATTAYKWGATGCTAGTACCTACCGGGTTGAACCTCTACTGCGGGGTTGGAAAGATCTGGAGGGAAAGGACTCCTTTACACCGACCTGTCGATACCGAGCTAAATTGGGGGTTCAGATCCA